AAAATTTTCGTTTTTCTTTTGTAGGCTAAGTACTTATCGGACCACCCTCGTATATCACGTTAGCATACAGTTTTCTTTACGCAACAATATTGTTCATCCCGGCTAATGCGTTACGCGCAAGCCAAATCAGAGCGACCATGAGTCTACGTTTACTTCAAGCATACCTGAGAGTCACTCCGACGTCACAGATATATATTATAACGGGGTGTATATTTAATGTGCGTGCTACGCCGGGTACGGCTTGCGGGTTCGTTTTGTGAATGTGCGTGAATTGACTAGTAGGGATTCGAGAGGATCCATTCATTCGCGTTCTTATACCAAGACAGGATTGGTGGAGACATAATGTAACGCTGGTTACATTTGGGGATTAGATTTTATTATCTTAGCTTAGTAATGTGAAGGCTCTGCCCTCGAGGGCAGATGCTCTCAGGATCGATAGTCTGAAGGGAAGCCGGTCGCTCCCTCTTCACCCTCTTCATTAAGGCTAGGGCGGCCTCTAGCCTCCCATTCCAGCCTCTCCACCACTATCTGTGGGTGCTGTCAAACGCGGGGTAATGGCAGATGTTACATCCTTCCCATTGTGCCCGCGATATGGTTTCTCTTGGTAGTCCCCTCTCTCGTGGCGTTAATGTCAACCCGTCCCGACAGTTAGGTGCTGACCACAGTTAGTGTATGCGTTGTTCACACTTTTCCGTTTTGAGGGAGGCACAGCGTAATCAAACATTACCACCCCTCTCCCTGGGTGCCGAAGGTTGGCATAACCCACTGTCTTTTACTCCTTCGCTTTCAGATATACTTTGGAGATCCGGAAGTCAAGTTTGCTACGACATCCCTGACGCTCACAGGAAGTCGGAGCCTTATTAATCTAAGACGGCGACCTCCTCGAAAGGAGTACCGATCTTTTCAAGGTTCACGCTCAGAGAGAGCGGAACTAAAGGCTTGACCCGCGGTTTGGGCGCGACGGGACTCTAGTTGTCCCGACGTCTACCGCGTCGGAAGCGCGTGGCATACAAATCTTACGAGATTTACTTGACCTGGTACCACTACCCCGAAGAGGCCAACCCAAATTGGGATGTTAGAAGAGAGACCCAGCTAGGACAGCCAGAGGAAATTCCTAAGACGATCAACCAGCTAAGCCTCCCTTCCTGGGTTCGTTCAAAGCATCCCACCCTGCGTACCTATATTAAGGGATTGCTCCCACGACTCACAGGTCCCCCGCTTCGACATACCAGGGCACGTCTTCCGATTACTTTTCGGTCATTCCCACTCACGCTGGTGGGTATCCGTTATTCGAAAAGTTGTTTCCTCATTTTCGCCTCAATTTCGGATTTCATTTTCTATGGATAGGCTTTTATGACTCGCTGATGTTGATCTCTGCTCTTTCGATTAATATTTGCTGACTTTGGGTCAGGGTCGGGTTTTCGCTTAGCTGACAAGGCAGTTTTCAATATTCGTGCCAGACATGCCACTCATTCGAATCAATTTCCGAAGTTTAGGCTTAAATCAGGTGTTTAATTAACGTTCGAAATTAGCGTTCAAATTGTTATGTTGACCATCTGGCCTACGTTCTCATAGGAGAGCGTTGTGTCTTTTACCTACTGTCTCCTTGCGGAGATAGTGTTTTCAGCCCCACCACGTGAAGGTACACACATCCGCACCTGTGACGGCAAGTATTCTTTCAGTTCACATTGCATTCACTTCGAGTCGACTTGCATTTACTGCTTGTCGAGGGCAATCGGTGACGCACTTTGTACATCAGCATTTGCATGTGCCTGTACAGAAAGAGAAGTTTGTGACATTCTCTTCTAAAGCAACGAATTGTTTGTTTGAGAAATCTCAATTCTATGTTGAGGAAGACAATCATAATCCGCCGCTTTGACAAAAGATTTTTGCACAAAGTAACCTGGCCAGCCGCGAGGCTGGCCATAAGGTGAATTATGTGCATCGTCTATGTTTTTGCTAAGCGAATCGTAATTGAACTTCCTAAGAGCGTCCTGATTGCAACCGCCAGGTGCTGACCACAATGGCGGCTCGAGCAATGATTCCGCTGATGGGACCATCACAACGTTGATGTGGATCGGGCCCAGGACCTGGTTTACGTTGGTACCGCTGAAGTTCACCACGATGTTTACTCTCCCGCGACTTTGGTTTTGTGACACCGCCACCGTGGGCGTTGGCTCTTGTGTCGTCAGTAGTCGAAGTCGTTCGGGCGGTATCCTTCAGCCTCAAACACGTCGAATGCCTAGTGCACGGCGTATTGGAGATGACTGAGGGTGGTCCAGCCGATCTCTACCTCTTATAGGCCTCAGATAATTTCCGGTCACGATCGATGCTCGTTTCGAATAGATCAATCGCGGAGAAAATCAGGATGCCAGGTTGCGTTGAAGGCTTCATCGTCCATTTGAGTGAATATCGTGCAGGTTGGTGCGCGAGTTGGAATCGCCCCCGCGGGCGGCCCTCTTCAAGGGGTATCCGTACAGATGAAGACAGGGCCTGTGTCTTCTCGTCTCCAACCTTGTCGATCTGCACCGTTGATAAGCCCTCGTGGGCTCGTGACCGTTCTTGCTCCTCCTTTTTCTGAGTTTCGCTCACAAAGTGCAGGGCGGCGCGGACCACTCCATCAACGGCGAGACTTAAATCTAAAATGATCAGGGCGGCCGCCGCTTCTCGAATTGCTCTATCGCAATCTTCATCCTGCAATAAAACATTATATATGTCCTAGACATCAATAAACGAACTTTCACGATAAATATCGAAGGTGGGCGCCTTCTTGGCTGCCCAGTGCCTTCGTCGCTAGGAATGGAGGTGGAGTCCTTTTCGCCGGCCTCTCAGGGCCTCCGATCTCGGGGCGTCATGCAGTGATGATGAGTATTTTCAGGGGTCGCCCCCTTATTTTCCTCAAAACGGATGGTGGCGAACTTGGCGGATGTTGTAGATACGTTCCTCCTCGAACAGTTTGCACATTTTTGCGGGGTCGTCCGCGTAGACACCTCTCAACTCCAATCGCCGAAGTAGGAGTTATTACCTTTACCTTGTGTCTTTGGCGTTTCGTTCGTTTCGTCAGACGGAACTTTGTCGTGCAAATTATTGCGGGAACAGCGCGATCGCTTCAAATTTCTCTCAGAACTTTATGGAAACGCGTTCTTTTCGCTCTCGGCACAATTACCCTTGCTGGGCAACGATTCATTTGCTAGAGATGGGTCGCTCGTCACCTCTACTCCATCAATGGTTGGGGTAGTGCTATCCTGGGACATTCGAGTTGGGTCGATGTCTTCCGCTGGCGTGTCATCAGGACCATAATATGGTTTGAGGTCTTTGACATGTACCAATTCCTCAATTTCTTTCTGTTGGTTGGCGAGGCGGTAGGAGTTAGCTCTGAGTACCTCTACGATCACGTAAGGATCTGAAAAATTGGGTGCTAGCTTCACGGATATGCTTAGAACCGCGCTGGGTAGGACTCGATTTCTTTTCCACATCCAATCTCGTTCCTTAAATTCTGAGGCCCTTCCTCTAGCGTTGAAGTACCTCACCTGGCGCAACAATTCATCTAAGGCGATCTCTCGGGCCTCTTGTAGAGAGAAGCAATTGTTTTACATGTGTTTGTCCCATTACCTCAACCTGCTCAGGTCCTCGTCTTTAACCACGAGCTCGTTCTTCTCCCTTCGAAGGGTTTTAGGAGCTTCCGGCTGCCTGCGGTAGTTGAGCATAGTGAGAAGTTTCCGTAGAGCTATAGATAGCGGTATTCAGAGCAAACACGAACTCGGGTATGAACCGATCCCATTCTTTGTGATTCTCTTGAAGATATGACGTGATCATCGTCTTCAGCGCACGGTTAACTCTTTCCGTAGGGTTGGGTTGGATTGGCTAAGGTGTGTAAGTCGGTGTAAACATCCGGCTCATCCCTTACTCCCTCAGGTAACTGTCTACAATCTGGTTTTTGAACTCTCAGTGCCATTATCGGATAGGAAGACTTTGGGCGCTCCAAAGCGCATGATCACTCGTTCTCTGATTTCTTTCACAATTGTCTTACCGTTTGCGCTGCGTATGGAAACACATTCTACCCATCGCGTGAACAAATCGATGAAAGCTAGTACATATTCGTGTTCTCGAGGACTGCGAGGAAATGAACTGGCGATGTCGTCAGCTACTATCTGCCATGGTGTTGACAAAGTTCGGTCTTTCATCATCGCGCGAGGGAGCTGCTGTTCGACCTTGCACTGTTGGCATACTTGACACATCCTGACATACTCCTTGATGTCTTTATACATGCCTGGCTAATAGTGAGATCGAACGAATGTTTCCTCCCGTCCTAAATGGCGGGCTGTCTCAGTATAGTGATTCTCAAATAGAACCCTCTCACGGTCTTCAGGTGACACAGCTAACTTCCAGATATTCTCGTCGTCGTACTCTCCGTGGTGGTCACTAGTCAATTCCTATTATTCATCTTACAATTACTCGATAAGTTTACTATTACCTAAGATTACCTATTATTGCCATTCAGTCTTATTATACTTAATATTGAAACTACGGAAATTGCGTTGGGAAGTGTGAGTTACGTTGTTTCTGAGAAACACTACTCGAAGTCAGAGTTATACCAAACTCTAATTAATTCACGTTACACTAGCTTCTTTATGCTATAATTTCTTTGATTATAATTTATTTTTGAAAGAGACTTCGCTTTCTTTTGTAATTTTTAAAATAAGGAATTAATAATATAATATATAGTTTCAGTATGATTTCCAAGCTTTACGTCAACTAAAGCATATAACATTTCAATATCTATGAAAATTATGTAATTATTTTCGACGGAAATATATTTCGGTTTATTGTGAAGTATTTCAATATAGAAATAGTGATTATAGTTACAATTACAATGATTCATGCTTATCAATTGACATTATCATGAGTGAATTACACTCTTCCTTATTATAATAAAGTTATTGTCTTATTTTTTATTGATGATAATTGCGACGTGTTAGAAATATGTTTGAATACGTGTGTCATTTCATAGAATTGAAAATTAATATTATGTTCTATAATTTTAAATAGTTTTAATAAAAAGTAAAAATTTTCACATTTTATTGTAATGAATTCATATTTGATAAGACTTACATCTCGATCCGGATCCAAAAACATGAATATAATCATCATAATATAATATGGAGCCCACCACAGTAAGAAAACTATCACTATCACAACGCTAATACGCAGTGATTTAATTTTAGCTCTCTGCAATAATCTTTCACGACTCAAGTCTCCTCTATTATTGATTGTGTGGTTATACATTATTTTTGACTTAAAGACTCTTTCACTTCCTGTAAACCATGTTACAAAATGGTATTTATATATTCAAATCATATTTAATAATAATTTTAATTTTCAATAAGAACATAGTAATGATATCTATGATCTTTATAATGTTAGTTTTGTAACATGAAAATCAATTACTCAATAATGTCTGTGCTTATTTATTTGCTGCTGGTTTTTTTTGTTTGAATGAGACTCAACTATTTCGTTTAGAAAATTTACTTAAAATCATTTAGGTGGAGAGAGAGAAAGAGAGAGAGAACATACATAACATAAAAATTATACATACATACACTGCCGGTCAGTCACTTTTACTCCCCCTCGAGCAAAATTGCTTGAACTTGGAAGTTTCATATTTTTGGTCAGAATTAACGTACAGAGACGAGCGAAAACGCATTTGAAAACTCTTTCCAAGAGCTTTCGAATAGTATGCATCGGAAAATTTATGAAATCGGTTTTCTAATTTTTTCAATCGAATATTCATCAATGAAAATTCCGAAATTTTCAGTCTATCTTTGATAACTTGCCAATTCTAGGGAAAAAATCCCACAAAAATTTTAAGTACAGCATTTTCTTCCTTTTTCCAAACCCTATCCAAATCACTCGTCAAAAAATGTTGTCCATCAAATATGACCCTTGTATGAGAAATTTTCTTGAAAATTGACACGTTTTTTCAACTTTTTATAACTTTGTAAATAAACATCCTAGAAAAAAGTGTACATGAAAAAAAGTGTTTCTTTTTTCATGTAAAATACTGCAGAATTTTTTCAAATAAAAAGAAATATTTTTTTTATCCATCTTTCTATGGTCGGTCAAAAATAAAGTAAAATATTCATCCGCAACGTGAAATTGTCTTCTTGTAAAATAAAACTTATAGTTTTCAAAAACTTCTTGTTCCCATTTTTTTTCCTCACAAGAACGTTGTTTTTCAATTATTTTTCATCGCTGTTTTTATAGCCGGTGCAAAAAAAACTATATATTGTACAGGAAACGATAGTGAGTATACGTGTGTGTGTTCACACCCAGTAATCACAGGCTTATTTAGTAGGTACTCAACACGTTGTATACTCCGGTGTTTACAAATAAAGTTATATACGAACGCTCATCATATGAAATGTGGTATCTTCTTAAATATTTCTGTGTCTACGATTATGAGCAAACTAGTCGATCGCGAGCCTTTCAAGTGTGAACAACTGTTTGTGTAATGTGTAGTGAACATGGCAAAATCGAAGAAGTTGAAAATAGACAGGCGCACAGTGGCTTATAATATTAAAAATTTCTGTACATCTGGAAGTGTCGAAAATAGGCAACGTAAACCAAGAAGAAAAACTACTGCCAAAGAAGATGACTACATTTGTCGAACAAGTTTGCGTAATCGAAAAGTCACTGCCTCTGAACTTACCGCAGATGTCAACAAATATTTAGAAAAACCTGTAAGTGTGAGTCCGGTAAAGAGACGTTTGCGAGAGAAAGGACTTTTTGGTCGAGTTGCCGTTAAGAGGCCACTTCTACGATGTGTAAATAAAAAGAAACGCTTACAGTGGGCAAAAAGTCATAAAAATTGGACTATTACTGATTGGAAAAATGTACTGTGGTCTGAGGAGTCAAAATTTGAAACTTTGAAAGTAGAAAGAGAGTGTATGTAAGAAGACGGGTTGGTGAGAAATATACGTAATAGTGATTATTTAGTTCCAAGTGTGAAGCATGGCGGTGGTTTAGTTATGGTATGGGGTTATTTTGCTAGATTAAAAGTAGGCGATATTGTGAAAATTGATGGAATCTTAAAGAAAGAAAGTTACAAAAACATTCTACAAAGGCACGCTGTAACATCAGGAATTTAACTAGTGGGAGCACAATTTGTTAAAAGCAAGATAACGATCCAAAACATACATCCAATTTATGTAAAAATTATCTCTCAAATTTATAAAAAAAAAAAAAATTGAAAGTTATACAATGGACAGCCCAGTCGCCTCATTTGAATCCCATCGAACTGCTATGGGAAGAGCTCGTGGGATCGAGCAGTGAGAAAATCTTGCCCAAGCTCTGCAACTAATTTATGAGAAATTTTACAAAGAGAATGGAACAATCTCCAAGAAACCATATTGGACAAACTAGTCGCAAGGATGCCAAGAATATGCAAAGCTGTTATCAAGCATAAAGGAGGCCACTTTGATGAAAAAAAGTTTAATTGGTTTGATACAAGTTCTAATTATCGCAAGTTTATGTTTGTTAATTACAAAGTCACTATTATTACGTGTTATTGTTATAAGACGGTGCATTTATTTATTCTAATTTTATTTATTTCGAAGATATTTAGCAAAAAATTTGGTTCATCGTCCTTCCGTATTTGATTACTTTTGTCTATTTTTTGTTATCTATTTTTAAAATGTGTAGGGACGTAGTAAATCACAAAAAAACTAAAACGAAGCGTAAAAAAAAAAGTTAAATTCCTTTATTTTTTTAATGTGCTAAAAAACCGAAAAAAAATTTTTTCTCTATTTCTTTATTTTAACTTTATTTTCGTATTCTTGGACACAAAATGAAACTTTTTTCTCTATGGAATTTTTTTCCAAAACGTACGCAAGTCGAAGTAATTGAGGATTGGAAAAAAGGTTACTTTTTACAAAAAACGCCGTAACTCGTTTAAAAAACACCGGATGGAACCCCGCGGGAGCTCATTTTAAAGGGAAAGACATTACCCTCCGAACCCCTCCGGTCGATTTGCCCTCCACCGCCTGGTTCTAAATTGGCATTGATTTAAGTCGAGGTTAAAAAAATTGAAATTTTTATTATCAGTTTTTTTACTGTAAAAAACACATATTTTCATTTTTAAGTCTCTGCACGTCTTAAATGGAAGCTTTTGTAATTACCTTAAAATGCCCTGCGGTATTTTGTGATACGATGATTTCCGACCGAGATACAAAACTTTCAAGTTTGCCTAATTTTGAGGTAAGCATGGCAAAAGTGATTGACGGTCAGTGTATTTTTTAAATTAGAATCATGTTCTCTTCATCTACTTTTGATATGATGCTTTTCCGGTGTTTGTATCTCTTGATGTATTCATTGACAGTCATGTTTCTTCCGCCAAAATCTGTAAATAAGTTTGCAACTTATTTTAAAGACAGCCACTGAGTTTGAGTTGCTATATTTGCGAGTAGATATGGAACACCACTGCAATTGCTTATTTCTTCTTCCCGAATAGTCTCCAGTGGCTTACTATTAGTTGTCGGTTTATCTTAGCTTCAGGATTAAAAAAAATCGTCAATATCTAAGATCAATAACTCAATGTTCTGTGTACTTACTTGAATTATCTTTGAAATTATTCAATGTATATTCTTTCACGACGTTGAATTCGCTCGCTTCACTATTGATTTGTAGTTTATTAATTCCAAGATGAAATTGTTTGTCTTTTTGGGTATCTATTATCAAGTCCTGTTCGCCTAAAATGTCTCTAAAGTCACAAAATCAACCGTTATTTTCGAATTCGAATACATTGTTAAGATTAAGAGAAAAGTCTATTTTGCTCTCTTTTGTAACTTTCGAAGTTGCCCCAGTACGTATCTTTATACATAACGCTGCTAGGGAGGGCCTTGATAGCTTCGGACTCCTCTCATACTTAATGCGAGTGATAACAACCGACGAAACTATGATCAGACGAATCACCGCACATGTGTTGCAGGGATCTATCCTGTGCCTAGACTTCTGGAATATACTATATGACGCATTACTGAGACTCAAGATACCGATGGGGATGGTTCTAGTCACCTACGATGATGACGTAGTAGCAGTGATAACAGCACATACCCTGAAATTGTCAGAAATATTACTGAACTGCACGATGTTACAAATCAACAGATGAATTATTACACACGGACTAAGTCTGGCCCTGGCTAAACGGAACTGATCATTCTGACGGGGAGCATGGGTCAATGCCCTGGAGGGTAAGAAATACAACAGACAGGGAGCACTGAGGATCATGTGCGCCTATAGAATATTCGCAGCCGAGACTATTCTAGTATGGGGTAATTCCAATAGACCTGATCGCTAAGGAACGGAAACGCATATACGAACAAAACGTGGATGTGACGTGGACAAGCTGTGAAAGGTGACAGAAATAGAACAATGATGAACTGGAATGAACGATAGAGGACGAACACGGCTGGTGCGGAAACGAGATGTCTGATCAACAATCTGACACCGTGGATGAAAAAAAGATTTAGAGAAGTGAATTTTTTATGTGTGCGGTCGCTGGAATACGAAGAGACGAAGACTGGAGACGAAAATAGGCAGCATCATGCTCGAGAACATTGTAACAAAGTTGCTGCAAGGCAAGTATATGAGAGAAACAGCCGGAAGGATGTCTGGAAGTCGAGTGAATGACGAGAGAAAGTAAGCACGAATACGTATGAAAAATCGAATGAATGGAACGAGACAAAAGATATGATGAGCAGCCCAACCTGATGTGATTGATCACTCCGTCACATAGTCCATAGAGGATTTGCCTATTTTTTAACCACCAAAAAAAATTACTAATAACATTAAAGGGACAGTGTGTAAGATCTGTAATTAGCTATTCAGCTGTCACGTGCCACGAATCAACTGTTGAAAAACTGAGGTATCGTCGAATGCTTTGATTTTTAGACAAATTAAAATTGTTGACTTTGATAAACTGCATAGCTTATGTAACGCCAAAAAGTGACACATTTCAGAGCGTAATATTCGTAATATATGTTTCATATTACATGTATGTGTAAAGAGAATTCATAAACAAACGGTTCTAAGTTAAGGAACGACCTCTCGTCTAGGTTTGGTACCCGCTTTTATTTGCTCTCTTTTTTCAACGCTCGATGTGCTTCACATAGTTATTCTTCTATCTTCTAACTCATTGGTTTCGTGCTATTTCTATCTTTTACGATTTCGTTTAACTGATGTACTATACTCGTTCACTCTGTTTCTGTGTCTTTATAACTAGTAGACTATGCACACTCTATTCGCGTACTCTGTCCCT